TAAGCTCCGAGGGAGCCGGGATTGGGTCTGGCTCGTTCATTGCTGTCTTCCCAGCACCTGGCATGGTGGTGCGGGGATTAAAAACTATGTGTCTGCAGAGTGACTGGTCGGTGCCCTCCCGCCCACGTAACCGCACAGGTCCCCCACGCGGCCTGGCTGCTCTGCGGGAGGAGACTGCCGTGCCACACCGTCTTGCAGGGGCTGGGGAGGCAGGCACCTGCCAGGTTCAGAGAGAGCTGCCTGCACCCAGAGTTAGGTTCTTAGTCTGGCCACAGAATTGATGGTTATCAACAGGAACCTGTGGTGAACACTGCTTTTGCTTCCTTCTCTGGCAACAGCCACCTCAGACTCCCAGCCAAAGGCTTGTTGGATCTTGTACTTAGAGCTCAAGTTCACACGCTTCCCTGTTCCAAACTCCGGGAGCCAGGTACAGGAAGCCCAGACTCTCCTGGGAAGCTGCCTCGGTGGTTGGGGCAGGTCACTGAGCGGGCAGAGTGCTGCTAATCGCCAGGGGCCCACCCTGCACGGCTCACACAGGCACTTCCGGGAGGGCTGCTGGCAACAGGAGCGGCTGAGACAACTGCGGAGGCGGTGCTGGGCTGCCCGCGGGCTGCCTGCGCACACGCTGGTCCTCCGTTCCCCTCCCCCTCCCCAGTCCTTTCACAGCTTCATCTCTAGTCCCAACTGCTGCCGTGGCCCCTTGGAGCCGTGAGCCCCCGCAGGACAGAGCCGGACTGTGCTGCTCCCTGCAGCCCCCCTGGCCAGCCCAGCCCATACCGGGTACAGAACTGTGTTACGTGACTAGCGAGTTTCCGGTCTCCATATTCCTACTAATATGCACTGCTACATCTGAGAGCTATTCCTGAAATATGTTTCGTGGTTTAGAACAGGCCATAATTAATATGTTTAGATTAGAGTACTGATAAAATGTGCTTCATAAGAAAGGAATTAGAACGTCTCCTTCCAGTGTTTTCTTGAAACTGGTCCCATCACACATAACTAGTGAAGTATGATCGATTTGGAGCTTTGAAAAAGTCCGACAAGGATTGGACTGATGTTTACTGTTTTGTCACTTATAAACCACTAATAAAGATTTTATTAACATTATTACAGTATTTCTGTTAGGATGGGATATGCTATGCTTCAGTAACATAAACCTCCAATCTCAGTGGCTTAGCACAGCAAAGGTTTAATCATCCCTCACGTCGTGGTCCATCTTGAACTATGCCAAGGGCGTTGGAGATGAAGAGAGGGCTGGGGTTGCATGGGGTATTTTTAAAGATCAGGCCCAGAAGTTGCTTACCTCACATCTGCTCGTGTCCCGTGGGCCAGAACCCACTCACATGGCCCCAAACTGCAAGAGGGGCCGGGAAGTAGGGGGGCCCTGGGTATGGGGTGAGCACGACAGTCTCAGCACAGTTAGTTATTACCTGTCAGCATTATGATTAACTGCTACCCACAGAACCCTTACCACGGACCTAGCTCTACCACATCCTATTAACCCTCACAAAAATCCCAGGAGGTGGGTGTCATTAGCCCCATTTCACACATAAGGAGACTGATGCTTGGAGATGGGAAGGAATTAACTTGAGGTTACGCGTGTAGGTTCTGTGCAGTTAGCGCTCTAACCAGCTCTGTTCAATTCCAAAGCCTGGTTGGGCCTTTCCGCTACACTGAGCCCGATGTAGAACGGTCTCCCTGCTTTATTAACAGAGGTGTGCTCAGGCCCAACAGAAGGCAGTGCTTTGACCTTGTGGCCGTGTGCACTTGGGAGCAATACGCTTGCATTTCTTTAAGCAGATTTGATAAGAATTCCTCCCCCTCCCTGACTGGCCTGCGAGTGATGAGAACCCCCACCCCTTACCCTCTCCTGAACCTCTGGAGGTGAAGAGTGGGGTCCTGAAAACACTTTCCTAGTGAAAGACTCAGAATTCAGCCACAGCTTCATAGGAACGTCTCTTTTGTTCCTGGGACAGGTTGTTTTTTTCCTTCTAAAAATCTCCTTTCCCAGGCGAATGACTGGGCCGAAGAACTACCAGAACCCTCCATGGCAGTCTCTCTGTTCCCTCCATGACGCTGGCCTTGGCCCTCTGACCCCCTGGAACACCCCATTGGGCTGCTGGGTGGTGGCAGCAGGGCCTAGCGCAGTCACTTAGTTCCCCCCTGCAGTCACCTGGTTAACTCCCCATTCCTTCCAGACCTTCTGTGACAGCTACAGCCCCAAAGACCACCCACCACAGGCACAAGGCTCCTCACGCCAAACTGCTCGTCTCTGCAGCTCTTGCTGGTCACGGGGGCCTCGTCAGCGCCAGCGACGGCTTTTTACCCTATGGGCAATCATGGGAAAGTGACATTCCCTTCAGGAATCCCCCGACTTGAAATGCACATGCAGGATGTTGGGACTGGTTTTAGGGGCTGGGTTATTTACCTTTTGTAAAAAGCATTTCATTTCACAAGGAACAGGCTGCAATTCGATTCATAGTGATCCTGTGGCCAGTGGGTCTCACCCCTGGCTGCACCTCAGAATCCCTGGGGCCGGGGGGTGGGGGCGGGAGGGGGGTTTACAAATCCCGGTGCCCAGGCCAAGCCCCAGCGCAACCATTCACAGTCCCCGGGGTAGGACCCAGGTACCAGGAACCTTTAAAGCTCCCCCAGTGACTCTAAGGTGCAGCCAATCTGGGAACCGCCTGTGGTAAATTGATCTTCCGTCAGATAGCAGCAGGGCTGTGGGGAAGGGAGAGGGAGAAACAGGACCTTCAGGAATTGTCAGCCTGGCGCTAGGGCCAAATTCCCTGAGGAATTCAAATTAGCTACAGTTACCTTTAATTTTTTCCCACAACAAATTCAGGCATCATAAATGTCATTTAATTATTGAGAAATGTACCCAACACTGAGTGACGTAAGGCTGTTCACCTGAAGGGTGCAGCTGGAATCCTATGCTTTTCAAAGTTGTGAAAGATGAGCATTGTTTTTGTTGTAGCTTGTGCTAACTAGCATATTTTTTAAAAGTCATGATCCTCTAAGATATGGGGCTAAGAGATAATATTTTTATTAAATCAAAATTCTGTATAGCTATTCCCGAGTATAATTGTGGAAAATGTCATTTTTTCCTCCACTATTCCTAGTTTACTAAGAGTTATCACGAATGAATGGGTGTTGGATTTGTCAAATGCTTTTCTGCATCTATTAAAATGATTGTGATTTTTCTTTTTTTTAATTGATTTTATTGAGGTCATATTGGTTTATAACATTATATAAATTTATTTCAGGTGTATGTCATTATATTTTGGTCTCTGTATAGACTACACCATGTTCCCCACCGAACGTCTAGTTGCCATCTGTCACCATACACATGTGCCCCTTTACCCCTCTCACTCTCCCGAGCCCCCTCCCCCTCTGATAACCACCAATATGTTCTCTGTATCTATGTGTTTATCTTCCACATAAGTGAAGTCATACAGTAATTGTCTTTCTCCATTTGACTTATTGCACTTAGAAAATGTCATTTTTCAATAGTTGTCTTCTCTTTGAACAGAGCCTTCAACCTTTCTCGTAAGCTCTGGGGGTGGCGGGGAGGTTTGCTCAAAAATGAAGGGAAAAGCAACTGTGCAATATGGCTGTACAAGGGTTTCCCATTCTGCTCTATGAAAATATATTACATATGTTTTTATTTTAGCAATGTAGCAAACAGGGAAAAGACTTGCCTCATTAAATAATTTACTTAAAAGCCTGGAAACATGCTTAGAAACTGATGCAGGCTTTTCGTTTTAAAGATTTTATTTATTTATTTATTTTTTTTCCCCCCAAAGCCCCAGTAGATAGTTGTATGTCATAGCTGCACATCCTTCTAGTTGATGTGTGTGGGACGCGGCCTCAGCATGGCTGGAGAAGTGGTACGTCGGTGCGCGCCCGGGATCCGAACCCAGGCCGCCAGCAGCGGAGCGCGCGCACTTAACCGCTAAGCCACGGGGCCGGCCCTCGTTTGTTTTAAAAAGGTATTTGTCTCCACCAACATGGGCCATGGGAGGTGGCCGCGCCCTGACACCTGGTGGCTCCTGAATCTCACTTTCTGTCTTCTTTCTACAAATGACCAGATAGCACAGCGTGCTCAGCTGGCTCTGCTGTTTCCCATAGGGGCTTCGTGTTCTTCTCCAAAATCATCATGCTGCCAGGAGTTAGAAACTTATGAAAAGTGAATGGGGGACATGGAGTCGAGTCCTCTGGACATTAGGAAAGGACTTTTTATTGCGACACGATAAATACTCAACACTCAAAATGCAATGAACTCATCGACAATTTATTGCTTTAAGTAACTAAACAAGAAAGAGAAGAGACAGGCTCGTTTCGGTCAAGAGAAGAGACTCGGCATTCTCTCTCCAAGGTTAGCCCGTGGCATCTACTTAAAGCCTTCACAATACTCTCCAGACAACATAAGCACGTGACAGCAGACATGGGAAACCACCTGGCCAATGATACACTAGTGAAAATAGCACAGAACGGGCTCCCAACCAGTCGGGCTGCCCTGAAATGACAGAAAGAACGTGTGTTCATATGATGTGCTGAGTACAAAATTTTTAAAAAAAATTTTTGGCATTAATACTAACACGGAATACCTTCTTGGACATTCTGCAAGAGCGGGTGCACAAACAGAATTACCTCTTCATTTCCAGATGACCAGTCTCTATGGGAATACTTTCAGAAAAGCCAGGAGGGGGCGCCTCCCCTCCCCAACGTCATTTTCTTTGCAAAAGCAGCTGGGTCTGAGGGGTTTAGGTGGGGAAGGGCAGCTGCCGGGGCTCCAGGGGGCGTTACAATCACCAAGTAGCTGCGGAAAGCAGCAGAGTGTGGGGATGAACAGGCAACAGCCTTGGTTTGCAGCTAGGGAGGCCCATGGTTATGACCCCAATGCTCCCTGAAGGCCCTGCGGGGCCAGCACAGGCACTGGACAGTCCAGACCCTTCCATGGGAGGAGTGGCAGAGCCAGGGCTGGGCCTCCAGCCCTGAGGTCTAGAAGAAACAGCCTGACCTCTTGCGTTCCAACACTGGGGCATACGACACATTTCGAATGGATGTGCAGAAACCAACACTGTCAGGGACCTGGCCCTCGGAGGGCCCAGGTGACCTCATAAGGAGAGGTCAAGCCAAGCCATAGGGTAACACACAAGACCAGGGCAAACCAGCCCTTAACCCAGAGGCCGGCATGGTGCCTCGGGTTTGCCACCTCGTCAGGCTTCAGCGCCAACTGCCCGAGACTCAGTTGTCTTCTGCTGTAGCGGGCTCTGCAGCCGCCTCCTCAGCACCTCCCTCCCTGGCATCCTCCCCAGGATCGGGACTGGAGTGCCCACCGCAGCCCCCCGCCAGGGCCCTGCAGTGGCCGGCAGGACCATTCTGCACAGCCTCGCCCTCTGCGCAGAGCTGGCTGTCAGGATGCAGCTTCTCTCCCGTGACCCCTTGGATGGGGACCTTCATCTCCTCGGAGGCCCCGTCCTGCTGCAGGCCCGGCACGCAGTTTCCCACGTCTCCAGCTTTGGACAACTGGTCTTCTAAATTCTTCTCGTTCTCTTCTGCTTGTCGCTTGTCTCGGGCGCTGAGCTGACCTCTGGATTTCCTCATCTGCCTGGTGTGCGCGTCTTCGCGGGAGAAGCGCCACTGGAACTAGGAATCAGAGAGGATGGGGAGAGAGAAATGCAGTCTCCGTGAGCTGTCTGTTTGCAGTCACACCCACGTCACTTCTCGGAGCGAGACACAATTCCCAGTAGTGCTGGAGCATTTCCGACACCAAACCTGAATCAGCGCAAACACACGGGCCCACCGCCAGAGCGTGCGCGACGCCTTCCCCGCGTGGACTTCAGGGCTTGGCGGGGGCAGGGGGCACTTCTTTCAACCGGCCCCCTACCAAAGGCCTGGGAAAGGACGTCCTGTGATTCCATTATCTGGAGAGCCAGGATGGGAGAGGAGACGGGGCGCCTGCCCTTCCTCGGTGCCAGGTGCTGGCTACTCGCTTCCATTCTGAGCAGGCCATGGGTGAGCGAGCACCGGGCCGGCATTCTCTCCCCAGATTACCTGGGTTAGAGGGGCACAGAGCACGGGGCTGCACCACCCAGAGGCCCCTGCAGGATAGCGGGATGCCAGCCCCGCCTTCGAGAGCCCTCAGCTGAGTCCCCCTCACCTCCCCAAAGGTCACCTCCCTTCCTGGGGCGACCTACGACCAATGGCTGGTCCGGGTGGGGCACAGCGGCCCATCCTCCTTGTCCCAACTCGGGACAACTCTAAGAGGCCATCCCAACTCCAGAGCTACCCGGAGGGTTGGCTGAGGCCACTACTGCGACTGCGTCACGGCCCAGCTGCTCCCCCTGCCCACTCCGCGCCCTCCTTTCCCCACAGGTGTGGCTCCCAAGAGCACTCCCCCTAAAAACTTCCTCCATCCAAGTCCGTCTCAGACGCTGCTTCCCAGGGAGCCTGACCTGCAACCAAGTGTTTCCCGTGGGACAGATAAGTCAACAGAGGCTCAGAGAAGACCACGGCCACGCAGTCAGTGATGGAGCCGGGCAGGAACCGGGTGGTGTCAAGGTGTGGAGTGAGACCGCCGGTTGAAGAGTCCCAACTCCGCCACTCACTGGCCTGATTTCTCAGCCTCCTGTTCTCACCTCTACAATGGGGATAGTAACTCGAACTCAAATCGAGGTCGGTAACTCGATTTTCTGCAAAATCAGGGTTAGTAACTCTTTCTGTAAAAGTCAGATAAATATTTTAGGCTTTGCAGGCTACATGGTCTCTGCTGCTCTACCGGTGTAGCACAAAAGCACACACAGATGCAGTGTCTGTGTGCCAATAAAACTTTATCGACAAAAACAGGTGGTGGGCCTGATTTGGTGCACGAGCCACAGCATGCCAAGCCCTGCCTTAGAGGGTACTGATGTGGATTCAACGATGCGATAATCCAAGTAATGGGCGTAACACCATGCGTGGCACATCATTACCAGATATGCTGTTCCCACGACTGACACCAGATGTGAGTTGCATAAGATCAGAGATGCCCTCTTGTATCCCTGGGATACAGCACAGAGCGGGCACTCAAAATCTACCCGGGGGGTGAATGATGGAGACGACAGAGCCCACCCGAGCCGGCTACACTGCACATCAGGATGAACCAGTCCTGTAATTTCAGATTTGAAACATAGCTCGGGGTTTAGTGAGGAGGCACTGGTGCATCCACACGACATCAGGTCTGGCTGATTTCCAGAAAGAGAAACTAATTTGAGGAAGAAAAGAGAGGAAAAACTTTCAAGTTCTGTTGAGTCTGCTGACTCCATGAACTGCCACAGAGGAAGAGAGTTTGGGAGCCTGTGCACTTGGAACAAATCTGGGCAAATGAGTTTGAGCAGACACGGAAGCATGAAGAAGGGTGTTAGGGGCCGGCCCCGTGGCATGGCGGCTAAGTGCATGCGCTCCGCTGCTGGTGGCCCGGGTTCGGATCCCGGGCGCGCACAGACGCACTGCTTGTCAGGCCATGCTGTGGCGGCGTCCCGTATAAAGTAGAGGAGGATGGGCACGGATGTTAGCCCAGGGCCGGTCTTCCTCAGCAAAAAGAGGAGGATTGGCATAGATGTTAGCCCAGGGCCGGTCTTCCTCACAAAAAAAAAAAGGGTGTTAAAGAGAACACCCTGGAAGACTCAGAGACATGGGTCACTGTGTTGATAAAAGAGTAATGTGTTTTGAGGGCTAACAACTCAGCAAGGACTGCAGCCTCCTTCTTCCACACCCTCAACATAAAGGGTCCCCACAGCCTTCCTGAGCAAGGCCCCTCTGACCTGTCATTCTGGGGGTCAGTATCCTCAGGATGGCCTCCACCTCAGATGGGGCCAGTCCACTCTGAGTGGGGCCTAGGTCTCCAGTGCTCACAAAGTCAGATGCCACAGAGCCATGTGGCGTGCACTTGGGAAGACGACAGCCACAAAATCTCCAGGACGTGCCAGGCCCGGTTGTGAAAGGCACAAAGACCAAGAGAGAAACCCCCAGAGGAGAGAGAGCTGGGTGGGTGAGGGCCAGAGTCAGGACCCCAGCTGGAGGGAGTGGTCTCGCTGGGAAGAAGAGGATCATGGGACGAGATCCTGGGCAGGTGACTTGGCTGTCCTGCAGGTTCAGCTCAGTGACCCACAGGACACACGGGGGTTTAGTGTAAGATCCCACCATGGTCATGTCCTTCTACTTCAGTCGCACCACACTGGTTTCACCAAATATGGACTTAAATCTTAGACATTCTGTGATTGAAAGAAAAATAAAGGGAGCCTTCAGTTCTGACGATTCTTGCTAAGGTGGAGAGGGGGCCCAGGAATGCAGTTGCACCATCAGTGGAAACGATTTCTTAAGGCTTTACCCCATCGGAAATAATTGAGTGCTTTGCTAGGAAAAACCAAGAATGTGCTATGTAAATTATTTAAAATCTGCTACCTCTGCAGAGTTTTCAGTAGTAGAGATCTATTTCCTCAAAACATTTGCCTAAACACTCACAGGGTTCTGACACATCATGAGATTCTTGGATTTAACACCTTTTGGACAAGACTGGTAAATGTGAATATTCCATCGAAGTAGAGAAAAAGGAGTGAAGTACATGTTGAGGTTAGGATTTAACATTTATCCTGTCACCCTCCACCCTGCCCTCCCCCCCAATCCCCAAATGATCCCCAATCCCCAAATGAGTTCACCGACAACGTGGGGGGGTTCCCCCTGACACTCCTGTTTGGGGATCTCTCTGGCCACAGCTGACCGACTTCCCCTGGGGATGGTTTGAGCCTCTTCCACCCAGGCATGAGTTCCAACAATGGAATCACAAATCCCTCTACAGGTGAGGTGGTGCTCAGACCCCCCACCCCCACCTTCACGGTGCCCACTGCAGTAGAGACCGCCCCGCAGGCATCTGGAGGCCCCGTGACCACCAGAGGCCCCGTGACCACCAGTTCAGGACGCTGACTGCGGACCTCAGCGCCACGGCTGCTCCTCCAGCGCCAGCCCACCATGGCTCTCCGGCACCGCACGGCCATGGATCATTAACTGCTGCCTTGTCACGTGCAGCTGCTGCTGCCTTTTTTTTTGTGAGGAAGATCAGACCTGAGCTGATGCCAATCCTCCAATCCTCCTCTTTTTTGCTGAGGAAGACTGGCCCTGGGCTAACATTCGTGCCCATCTTCCTCTACTTTATATGGGACACCGCCACAGCATGGCTTGACAAGCAGTGCGTCGGTGCGCACCCGGGATCGGAACCGGCAAACCCCGGGCCGCCACAGCGGAGCGCACGCACTTAACCGCTTGCGCCACGGGGCGGGCCCCTGCTGTTGCCTTTTAATTCCAGCCCAAATGGAAGGGCTTCTTTTTTTTTTTTTTAAATCAATGACCCAAATAGTCAGAGCCTGTGTGTTGTGCATGTTTTTAGAAAAAGGCTGGTTAAGCCTGCCTATACATAGTACTCTGAGAGACAGTCAGCTATCAGGGAAGTTGGAGGAAGTTTTACTTTTGCCAAAAAAGTGGTGAGATTGCTTCAGCTGAAAGGCCCTAAACCCTAAAACGTCAAAGCATCATAGCACGGCCTCAGGGACCGTGGTGCACCTCTGCAGCCCTCTCACACTGACATGGATGTGAACAGCGCCCTCTGCAGTTGGGCGGTGTACAACCGCGATGATTCCACCTGCACCAGAGTCCAGCCTCCACACGTGTTATTTTCTAATGCAAACCCAGAGCTTCTCTCAGAGCTGCTCTTGCTAAATAAACAACAGGACTTCCGTGGTTCCTCTGGATGCCAGCCATATCCAGCTTCCTGTAGAAGATCACATTTTGTTGATCTCCTGATACAATAAACTAGGAGGACAGAGACCGTGGAAGGAGCCTGTGGCAGGCACACCAGCCGCTTTCTCCAGGAACATGCCCGGGCTGCTGGGCAGAGAGGATCTGGGACTGCCAGCACGGAGCTGGGTGGGAACTATTGCAGCCAAGGTTCTCTGTCCCTCAGAGTCATCACAGGAAGACCTGCTACCCCAGTGCCTTCTGGGACTGCACCGTTTTCTGTGTCCTCAGATGGGCTGTGGTGACGTCACTGACTCCCCGTGCCCCCAACGTCACTGGGCCCCCCCATCCGACCACGGCTGTCCCGGGGGCTGCAGCCAGGCCCCAAAGAGGCCCTGAGTCTTCCCTTTTCCTCCTCCTCTCCTCTGCAGGGGCATTCTCACGAAGCAGGGAAGTCGCTGCGGCTCAAATTTGGGGTCTGTATAATCTAAAGCTAAGAGTTCTGAGTTTCAAAGGAGACTGCCTGTAGGGTACCTGTCTAGAGTAGAACAAGCACACGGCCAGGTGCCTGCTATGTGCCCCACATTGTGATAAGGCGTCCCATTTCCCTGAATCCCCAAAGCAGCACTCTCGCTAGGCATTGCTAGCACCATTTTATAGATGAGCACATAGACGTTCAGAGAGGTTAAGTAACTTGCCCAAAGTCACAAAGCTAGAAAAGAGCAGAGCTGGAATTCAAACACAGGTGTCCCTGGCTCCACACGACCCTTCTGGCTTCTCATTCTTAGTGAGTGAAAGGCTTTAAGCTCTTGCCTTAGAGGGAAGGGAGGAGAGGAAGCGAAGGGAGAGGCCACACACCCTTGCACTGGCTCAGCCCATCACATAGGTGCCTCAGCTTTCAGACTGTACGAAGTTAAGATGTGTTAAGGGGTCAGCTAATGGAAGTCCAGATTTAACTGCCATTAAAGATACTTTGTTTGGCTTATTAAAAACAAATAGCTCCCTGATAGGCCCATTTAAAAAAAATCAATAATGATAAAATTTGAATGGTGGTGCACAGATGAGCCTGGGAAGGGCCCTAAACTATTTACCTGAGACACCGGCTATCAGACTGCAGCAGGCATCAGATCATCAGTAGGGCACCTGCAAACAGATCACTCCCCCCAGCCCAGAGCTTCTGACTCAGAGACTCTGCATTTTTAACAAGCTCCCAGGTGAGGCTGATATTGCTAGTGCATGGGCCACAGTCTGAGAACCACTGAGCTAAGAAAAACACCCCCTGCCCCTCCCACAGCCCCCAGCTCTGCCATCCACGCAGGGCTTCCTCCAGCTTCCTGCCTTCCATCCTCGCACCTGCTCCCTTCCCCACCCAGAGCTTCCTCCTCTAAGCTGGGGACAGTCATGGTCTGTAACAAACAAAAACTGCTCCAGATCCCAAGGCTCAAAAGGGTGACACCACAGAAAGCAAGAAGTGGAGCGGAGGGATGCGGCAGCTCCTGGGACAGTGACGGCTTTCCGGGTTGAGGCTCTGAGGGGAGGTCTGTGACATCCACACACTGAGAGGCAGGCTGTCTAGCCTGGAGGACGTATTCCATATATTGAGCAGCACCAGGGAGAGTCGCTGAACTCAACAGACAAGCCGGGAATTAACCAGGCTTCCAAGCAGGGGGTCTGGGGCATTGGATGTGCTGCTGGTGCCTAAACCAAGAAAGATTCCAACCTGACATCCATGTCAGAAATACGTGCGGAAAGGAAAAAAAATCCTTCACTTTACAGCAGTGTGTCTACAGTTCTGTGTGGGGTCAATGGGTTTAATTCGCACATTTTGAAAACTGTCGGTTATCTGCCTCCACTTCAAATAGCTTAGTCAGAAGGAAGACTCCTCTGGTGTCTAGAAATCATCTACTACCTTCGAAGGAGTTTAGTATCTGCTTTGAAAGGCACACTCATGTATAGACAGAGAGGTTTCCTTCAAATGCTAAAAATCTTGGAGAATTTTGTCCACTTTGCTGATTAAAAGAGGACTAAATATGCTATGTCCTTGATGTGCCAATGCTGTGATCTCTTTACTTACATTTCAATGCTAGACGTAACACACATGTCCTGGGCTCAGAAGTTTGATTACTTATTCATTGACTCCACAAATATTTTTGTTGAGTATCAACTAAAAGCCAGGTACTGGGTATACAACAGTTAGAAAAAAAATCTTTGCTCCAATAGAGTTAATGTCTGACTCTACTGGTAGAGGATAAGCTACTGATCACAAATAATTAGAAACTGCGAGAAGAGTCCAAAAGAGAGGAACGTTTTCTTCCCACTGTACCAACAAAGGAGGCTGGCTGAGTGTGGAAGGGGAGAACCCTCTCCTGAGACAATACAAAGGAAGAGAGTGTCTTAGGCATGGGGAACAGCTGAAGCCAAGGCCCTGGGGCAGAAAGGGACTCAGAAGAGCAGGAAGGCCAAAGGCACTGGAGTGCAGAAAAAGGGGCTGATCACACGGGGCCTGTGGACCATGTTACGGGATTCCATCCTTAAGAACAACAGGAGGCTTTTGACCGTATTTTAAGCAGTGGGCTGACATGATTCAATTCGCTATTTTAAAAGATCATGTTGGCTCTGAGTGGAGAACATATCTGAAGGGGACCTGTTTGCAGAGGATTAGAGTGGTCGAGGGATTCGAGTTTCTATGACCTAAAATAGACATGTCTTAGGACAGACTGAATGGGGGCACTGGACAGAGATGCAAGGATGACCTCTGCGAAGGCGGGTGCCTCTGGGCCCGTGGTAGTCCATTCCTCTAGGTAGTGGGGAGGTGGTCCCTTCCTCCAGGTAGGGGAGAGGTGGTTCATTCCTCCGGTAGGGGGCAAGTGGGCCATTCCTCCAGGTAGAGGAGAGGTGGGCCATTCCTCCAGGTAGCGGGGAGGTGTTCCCTTCCTCCAGGTAGGGAGGAGGTGGGCCATTCCTCCAGGTAGGGGGGTGGTGGTCCCTTCCTCCAGGTAGGGGGGAGGTGGGCCATTCCTCCAGGTAGTGGGGAGGTGGGCCATTCCTCTAGGAGGGGGAGGTGAGCCATTCCTCTAGGTAGTAGGGAGGTGGGCCATTCCTCTAGGAGGGGGAGGTGAGCCATTCCTCTAGGTAGGGGGGAGGTGGGCCATTCCTCTAGGAGGGGGAGGTGAGCCATTCCTCTAGGTAGGGGGGAGGTGGGCCATTCCTCTAGGAGGGGGAGGTGAGCCATTCCTCTAGGTAGTGGGGAGGTGGGCCATTCCTCTAGGAGGGGGAGGTGAGCCATTCCTCTAGGTAGTGGGGAGGTGGGCCATTCCTCTAGGAGGGGGAGGTGAGCCATTCCTCTAGGTAGGGGGAGGTGGGCCAGGTGTGGGGGAGGGGCAAAGTCTCCTGTTGCTCTGAGATTGTTGAGTGGTGACAGCACAGGTGGAACTGGGGTCCCTGGGGAGAAGTGAGGGCAGAAAATGCAGATAGAAGAGTCACGGACACAGACATGGCGAGTGAGCTTTTCTTACTCTAGGGATGAATGAGATTTTCTAAGGAAGAGGTACGAGAGTGAGAGGAGAAATGGGGCTGGATTTGACACTGAGCAACCTGGTGGAAAACCAGGAGAGTGTGGTGGGACAGAGCCAGGAGAAAAAGGTGCTTCAAGAGGTGGAGGGTGGCGGAGAGTGTCAGTGCCGCAGGGAGCCCAGGCACGGTGAGGACGAGATGGAGTTGCTGCCACGGTCATGGGGTACACAGACCTCACGGGAGCAGGACACTGACCCAAGTCAGCTGAGGAGCGAATGGCGGGGACAATGAGATGGAGACAAGACATCCGGCTGTAAAGTTCCCTCTTTGGGACTCTACCAGTGACGTGACTTAGAGGATCTCGAGGGAGAACAAGTGCTTGACACCAGCCAATCCTTGGAATGAGCAGGGGATAAATAAGTACTTTAAAAGAGAAAGCAGTCAACCCATATTTGTATAGCCCAATTAGGGTTGGAAGTTTCCACTGACCAGAAAAAAATGACTCCCATCCTGTCTGGATTTTCCCTGAGGAAAGACATTCTGCCTTCTTACAGCAGCTTGAAAACTCTACCTCTAAAACCTATCTGCCCGCTCAAGCTTCCACTGGCTCGTGCCCCTCTGTGAGATGCACGGCCTTTACCAAAATCCAACCATGTGTCTCGCCTTTGGGATCCGCGAGCGCCATAACCAGGAAGAGCTGGCAAGGAAAGGCAGCGCCACCTCCCTCTCTTAAAGGCGGGAGCAGGGTCTCTTTTGGCATCTGATGGAGACCTCGCGTGCATTGTTGTTGAATGTCACTCTGTGACTGCATGCTGTGCCCGTGGGCCTACGGCTAAACTGTAAATGACAGTGGTCCAGGGCCAATCCATCTTCCAGCCGGCGGCTGACTGCTCCTGGTGGTTAACGGTGGGTTTGGCGGTTGCCTTCTGCTCCTCTGCTGTTGTCACCTGTCACATTAGTGTCTCAGAGCTTGGAGAGAGGCCTTCCCCTGCTCTCCACCCCATCTGGCTTCGGGTTGCCATCTCCTTGGCGTCCCTTTCACCAACGGCCCCCCCTGGATTTGTTGGCTGGTGAGGGGCTGCTCCAATCTGTTCATTTGCTGGCTGCTCCCGTCTAGGCTCCACGTCCAAAGAACACGAGGAACCAAGAGTGGGGAGCATGGGATGGTGCCAGGCGTGAGGAGAGAGCCAGGTCCAGAAGGCTCTGCCAGAGAGCATGGCCCTGGCCATCAAAGGTGGAGCGAGCTGGCTCCAGGTGACACCTGACTCGGGCTTCGGCAGGTCCCCTCGACTCACTGGCTTCTTCCTGAGCAACTGGGGAAACACCCTGGGAGAAGCACCCACCAGCTGCCAAGCGTGGGGTGTGAGGCCTCAGCATCGTCTGACACAACGAGGACTGGGGCTCCACTTCAGGAAACACAGGAACAATCCTGAGAATGGCCAGTCTCTCAGTGTGACTGTGTTTCCGGGACAGTTCATGTGATGTCCAGTGAGGGGAAGAAGGCCCCTGGCGATCCCCAGGACAGCCTGGCCTGAGGACTCACTGCCACAGGCTGAGGCTGGCCTCTGTCTACACCAGCCGCTGTCACTCAGAGCCTTCGGGTCAGGGCCTGTCAGAAGGGGCTCCAGTAGGTTCTCTCTGCCAAGATCACCAAATTCTGACGTCCCCAAGGATCCCATGGGGCAGGCCAGAGCTCCAGCCAGTTTGTAATGAGATTAAGATACAGAGAAGCTGGGCAGGAGCTCAAACCATCTCACCCCATTGGACTGAGCTGACTTCATCCCCTATTTTTAGCCTGGTGGGAATATCTGGCATGCCTGAGCGTCCAGAAGAACCTCTCTCCTCCGCTCCTCTGGCCTGACTGGCAGATGGGCAGACAAGGCCCTTCAGCGCCCTCACCTGTGCTGTTCTGGCAGCCTCGGGCATGATTCAGTTTGCCACAGGGCTCAGGTGTTCTGAGGGCTCTGAAAGGCTGCCCACCCAGCTGCTGTAGAAGCTCCACTTGATGATGTCCCGCCATGGAAAACCGAGGAAGGCAATCAAGGTCACTTACCTTTGATTCCTTCTTCTTGATTTTCTGAGGTAGACACGGTCTCTGAAGAAAGACAATCTGCTTGGTGGATACATTCCCCTCCCTGAAACACACACGGCGCTGAGAATGAGTTATGTTATACCTGGGGGAACTCCAGACCTCACACAGACGCTGCCATCCCTAACTTCATCAAGCCAACCACCCACAGAAAGGAAAGCTGCCACCAACAATGAGAGGTCCGAGATCAAGAAGGCCCCCCGCCCACCCCCAGGGCATCCACCCTTGCTTCCAGGGGGCTACTCAGGGGCCCAACAGAAGCTCTGGGGGCTTTTCTGCAAAGTTTGCTTCGTAGCTGGAAACTCCCCTTCCCTTGATGTGAAATAACAGCTAGCATCTTGGCCAAATGATGACAAACTGGCTTCTTCAGCGAATCTCAAAGGGTGGGAGGCCTGTTCCCAATCTGTCTCTGGTAATGAGGCCACGGAGGGGCCTGGTTGGCCCAGGGTGGGCGGGTAGATGAGGACCTGGGTGATGAGCTCCGCCCATCAGCCATCACAGGAACAGCAGTGGAGGGCCCTGCTGTGCACAGGGTCCCTGCCACAGGCCTGATTCACCCTCGCAGAGCAGCAGGGCCACGTGGCTCCTGCAGGCGCAGGGATGAAGGGCAGGCAGCCAGGCAGGGACTGGCATTCACAAAGTGGGTGAGGGGGAGCGCAGGAGTGCTGCTCATTCATATGGCACAGTTGAGTGCACTTTCCTCCCCAAGAGGCAGGACCCCATGGAGCTGCCTTCAAAGATGACAGAAATATTGTTTTCTCCCTGCCTCCACTCTTCTGATCACTTTCTTAAATCTCTGTTTTGCAAATGTGTTCTCTGCTGAGGCAATGTGTCACTGCATGGAGTGTCAGAGGGAGAGGACTAACGTTTCCTATTCGGTTCCGGGGCTGGGCTGGGTGACTTCACACATAACGGCTCATTTAAGCCTCACCACAGCGCTCCAAGGACCGGGACCACCACCTTTACAGGCAGGAAATGGAAGCTCGGTTAAGGAGCAGCCTCGAGATCACACAGGGAGGATTCAAGCTGGGATCTGCCTGGTTCCCTGCGCTCCCCACCCCACCATGATGGGTCATTTAAGGCACAGGAAGTGGAGGATTAGGGATGATTGTTTACAGGTGTGACTATCCCAGACACAGACAGAGACCTGTCTACACACTCTGGGTTTAGCTCAGAACTAGCTGGGGCTTCACATTCAAATACATTCTCATCGTGATTCTTGTTCTCTGGAACAGATGGTGGGGCGGGCGTTCTTCCATCTTATAGAAGAAAACTGACAAAGCCACATGACTTGACCCAGGTGGACAGTTAGCAAGCGGCAGACTCGGAACTTGGGTTCAAGTCCACGAATCCAGGGTTCTTTCCAGGGTTCTTTCCACTCGACTGTACTGCCTTTTGCCCAAAGAAGTCTTGGCTGAGAAACAATATGGCAGCTCCCAGTGGCCAAGGGTCTAAAGGCAGCTGCAGACTGGCTCTTGCAGGTGTACGACCCACCGTGCCCTAGACCTGCGTGTGGAGGGACCCAGGAAAGGCACTGATTGTCACTATCCTTCTCCATCCTCAGACTAGGCTCTGGGGCTGTACTGCCCTTTTGTCCCCCCAGATCACCAGCTTCGTCTCATGCTGTCCATCACTCTGCAATGGTGAGCATGCAACCGGACTCAGGGAGGGCAGAGCACTGAGAGCCATGGGAGGGGGCATCCCTATGGGTCAGCAAAGAGGTGGCCTGGTGTAGGAGAAGGAATGCCTGACACTGCAGACTGAGGTTCTAGTCCCAGGGTCTGCCACTTACTGGTGTGTGGCCTCAGGTATGTGATCAAGCCTCTCTGAGCCTCAATTTCCTCATCTATACAATGGGAATCATATCTATACTTACAGCACCATAGGATAGTTAGAAGGACTAGTTCAGATAGCAAACCCAAAATACAGATGGAAAGCTTTTTAGGGTTGGTATGACTGGGATAAGCCCATGGGCTCAAGGGATGGAGGGCAGAGCCGAGGGTGGACAAATGAATGTGAAGTTGTAAGGACTGCCACAACCAAGGGCTGAGACCCAGGCCTTCACATCCCCTCTGTGGGGCCGCTGACCAGCGCCATGATCTCGGGTGAGTCCTTCAACCTCCCTGGCCACACTTTCCTCAGCTGTAAAATGGGTTAAATTAAAAAAAGTCCTACCTCATAGGATTTTTTGAGGACTAAATGGGATTTTATATGCAGTGTGCCTACCCAGCCCAGCACAAGGCACACAGTAGGTGCTGAGTTTCTTTGGCCTCTGAGAGCCCTGGGCCCCCTCAGCCCAGGTGGCTCATCTTTGACATGCTGGGCAGTAAGATTCACTGACCAAGGCTCCCTACGTGGAAGAGGGGTGCAGGGGAGTGCTCTGGGCAGGGGGTGGGGGGATGGTGGTTAAGAATCTGAAATCCTGGCTCTGCCACTTCCCACCTGGAGAGTTTCTGTAACCACGCCAGCCTTGCAGGCTTGTCACAGAGATTAAGTAAGTTATGTACATGAAGTGCTTACTGGGAACTGTGCCTAGCACAGAGTAAGTGTTCAATAATAATAATAACAGCAGTTATTGTTACCTGGTCGTCTTGATGACAGGAGTTGGTAGCACACAGGTGAGCTGCCAGCCATAGGCCGCCAGTGAGTTCAGCAGGGGCACATAGTCTGTCTGCACCTCGACGCCCTGGGGGAGAAAGGCCACTGTGAGGGCTGCTGCTGCCTCAAGCCGACACCTGAGTACTTCGAGGGGACAGTCAGTCTGCCAGCTCAACAAAGCGGAAAGAGGCGGGCGCCCTGCAGCCTGCAGGCCTCGCTCCATGATCCTTAAAGAGTTTGGAGCCCAAGTGCCAGTATGGGATTTCTGTCTCAGACTCAGTCTGTGTAGTCAGCAAGGAATTAGAACCAAAGGATTAATCCATTAGTTTTGTTTTATTCTTGTCTGGACAAATAGCCTCCTGTGAGTTTCACTGAAGAAGCACAGTCACCTTGCCTCAAAGACGTATTTGGGGCATATGACAACGCACCTGCTCCAGATGCTTCCGGAGCGTGTTGTGGGGAGTTAGACTACATTTGATAAATGATCAAGTCATTTGCATCCAGCCACAGCAGCCACACACACACACACACGGCCATACGTGTGCACACACATACAGGGAGCTCCACCTGTGTTACCATCCTGCCAGTTAGAGATAAATGAATGCTGCCATGTTTTATTTTATATCATCATGGGAGTAGGGGACTAACATTTGCCTTTCAATTTAAAAACTCAGCCCTGCTCCCGCGGGAGAGACCCCTAACGTGAGGCCCCTGCGCTGGGTTCCACGTCATGCTTTCTCACTGTGGCCGGCCTCATTTCTTACTCTGGGCTGCTCACTAACACTGAAAGCGCAGCTCTCACCCCCGCCCTGTGTGTCCACTGGACTCCCCATCTCTGTTAGGAAGGCTGCAGAACATCTCACACGTGTCCAGATTCCTTCCAACCGAGGCAGCCACGTGGATTCAGTCAGCTGGTGTCTCGGAGCCGTGGGGAGTACAAAGATGAATGCAGGCAGGTCCCGCCGCTGGAGCTCATAGTCCAGCAGAGGCAACAGCACAAACATGCATGGAACCGAAATACGAAATGGCCCGTTGGCAGGGCCACAAGGCTTCGACGGTCAGCAAGAGAGGAAGGATGCCGGCTGTGGTCAAGGCAGGCTTCCTGGGGCTCAAGGGCTGGGCAGAAATTTGACAGGCGGAGTTGGGGAAGGGGTATTCCAGAGGGAGAACTCCAGCATGTACACGTGGAAGACCACCCTGGACCCAGAGCACCTAGGACGGTGGGCTTAACTTGGGAGCAACGCTGATCAGAAAGGGACCATCCGTGGTGAGTGGCTGTCCTGCTGGAGCCCTTGTGGGAACAGAACCAGCTCATCAGGCTGCCCTGGGTTAGGGGTCAGGAAGAGAGATGAGCGAACAACCAGCCTCTTCAAATGGCTTTTAAAGCTCCTGTCACTGGGCACCCGTCTCACTGTGGCTACCAAGTTGCCTGAACCCCTGGCAACTAATTTATCCTTTGGGAGCCTGTCTGTTCAACTATACAAAACAAGCTTGGATTATCTCAGTGGTTCTCAATGCATGGTCCCCAAGTCAGCAGCATCAGTATCACCTGGGAACTTGTTAGAAATGCAGATTATTGGGACCCCACCCCAGACCTGTGGAATCAGAAACTCAAGGAATCTGTGTTTTAAAGGGCCCTCCTAGTAGTTCTGATGCAGCTAAGAGCCTGCAGTTCCGTGGCCAGAATCCATCAGCTGTTACCTCGTATCAAACCTTTCCCATCATTCTCCAGGTGAGGAGAAAAAGTGGAGGGGATTTGAAAGGATCAGCTCTGTGAGAAACACTGTGCAGCTAAAGAGCATGGAGGGGAAGGAGGGGAGACGGGAGGGGAGACGGGAGGGGAGGAAGGTCGAGGACGAGGGGGGAAAGAACAGGAGGAGGGAAGGAATGGGAATTAATAAAGGAGGGGGGCCAGAAGGGAAGGAGGAAAAGAGAGAGGGGTATAAGTATAACCAATTTACTGGAGTGGGTTAGGAGGGGACCCCATTCTGGCCCGTGCCTGAAGCCCCACTCAGGCCAGAGCTGGCAGCAGATGACCCAGCAACCCCCCTTTCTGCCCAGGGCCCTCGCCCATGAAACCTCCCTTCCAGACCAGCAGGACCAGTATCCCTCATGCTGGGCATGGCCCTCACCACCTGCTGTGGCTGCTTTATCCTGAGAACCCCTGCCCCCATCCCTGCAGCCCCGATTTAAAGAGGGGAGGGAAAAAATGTTAAATCCACACTCTCCAGCTCTGAGAGGTTATGATTACTTGGGCCTATCAAGAATAACCTTCCCACTTTATCAAGCACTGTGACAAACCCGCCACAATCAGACAGTAGCCATGGCAACCAGGACCAGCTTTGGTGCCTCACAAAAAGCCCTGAGTGGCAGAATGGAGTCCTTTTATTGGTGGCTGTGCCCCGGCCAGGTTTTTTCCATGGGCTGTTTCTCCGCGGGCACCCAGAGCCGCGAGACAATGGACAACCCCGCGGCAGCCTGACCTGCTGCTCAGACGGGCCTCGCAAGGGCTGCTTCGATTTTGCTCTGTATTTCGTTTGTCACTATCTTAAAGAGAAAGACAGCGGGATTTCTCCCAAACAGTTCTTCCCCTCAGGGAAGAGGATGTCAGCCAGAGGGTGCAGAATCATAAAGACTAAAAGGAAAAGAGAAACACAACAAAACAACCCTGCTGGAGAGAGCTGAGGGTTCCATCTCATGTTAATATCTGGCTGTCATGTGGTGGGTTGAAAAGTAAAATACAAATGGTAGGGGGTGAGGTGCTACACGCTGCCAGACTCTCCCACTCCAACTATGTGGGCTGGTCTCGATTTAATTAATGTTGAATGTGGTCTTCCATCAGCATCTATCAAAGCTGGTTTGCATATTATCAATACAGTAAGAAGATGACATTTCTAAAATATGACATGAGCCCCATGCAGCCAGAGGAAGAGGCTTTCAAGTCCATTAGCTAAGAAAAGTGGTGGGAAACCTACCCGGATGGAAGGCTCTCTTTGATCTGCTTTTCTGTGACACTCCGGTGAGGACAGAAAAGCACAAACAGCACTCCAAAGTCAGCCGGCTTATCACACGGAAAGACATTTCTTTCTGGGAGTAGGAGCAAAAATTTTAATTAACTCTCCACTCTCCTGTGTGGATATGTAATCTCCGATCACACCTGGAGTGTTAAAAAAATGGAGCACGTCCTGTGGTTTTTCAACTTGTACAAAAGGAATTCATTTGTATTTAAGGCTCTTCTTCCTTTGTTCTCTATAATTTGTCCGGTGGTCGCAAATCGACGAAAGAAACAGACATCCAGCACAACCTTCCCTTACCCTCCAAAAATGAGGACAACGGAATGCAGAGTTTACGAAGAAATGCGTTTGCCTTTTGATCATTTTTAAAGATCCTCTGTGCGGGGAAATAATGAGGAGCTAAAACATGGGTCCAGTGAGAAAGTCTGTAGCCTGAATGTCAGTTTGCTCTTCTCTTTTCCCCTGTTTTCATTTGTGGAAGCAATTTGGGAGAAAAGCAGTTTAAAAGAAAATACTTTGCTCCTTCTACGTGACTGTAAATGAAGAGAGCAATTCAATTTCCCATGTCTGAAAAACTGTGCAGGACCAGCTCTGGGATGCTCTCCTATCTGGAAACAGTGACTGGGCACTGTTTGCCTGTTCCCGACAGCCACAGGGTTGGGCTCTGGCTTTTCACCACGAGGGCACGTGAAAAGCCCTGCAATAAACACTTGTGGGTCTTTTGTAAAACTGCTACCAAAACACTAACGTCCAACACTTATTGGCAGGGTACATTTATACTACTATTTATTTATGTATCAATGCTAGATATCTTTTGATTTCCTCCCATGGGAAATGAAGCCTCAGTGCTCCCATATGCATTTCTATCTTCTTTCTTAATGCCCCAAATGGCTATAATGTAATTTTAATTAATCGTCAGTGTTTGTGTTATTATAACTTTGCAAATATATCTCAATGCTGGGTCAAGTAATGTACTATGACCGTGCCTTATTTTTTATATAACCCTTTATTTCTCCTAGAGTTAACTGTGACCTCAATATTTTTTCATCTGTCTGGTTGTGTTCCAACACCTCTATTTTATGCCCATCAATAAATATCCCATGTGCCTAAATACATTAGTTCTATTTTCTTCCACTGGAGACATCATTTCTGGAGCTTTCTGTACCCTTGCTCCAATCTGGTCTGGCTGCTTTCCATAGGTTCTCCCTCCACTGCTGTCTATGGCTGGTGTTTTTTCTCTCTTAGTTTCTTCCTCATTTTGTTGAAGCACATCCTCTAGTGATTTCCTAGGAACTGATGCCCTGGAAGTCATTTGAATCTCTGCATTCCTAGAAATGTCTTTGTCTTCACCTTTAACTAACAGTTTGGGTACTGAAGTCTGGCCTGAATTTTCCATTAACATTTTGAAAGTACTGCTCCACTAGCTTCTAGATGTGATATCTAGCTTCTATTGAGATATCTATTTAGATTACTAATACTTCGTGTAAGCTGTTGTGTTGCTTTGGAAGATTTTAGGATATTTTTCCCCATGAAGGTCCAGAATTTCACAATGGGCCTTTGCGTAGGTCTTTCTTACTCAAAGGGCTGTATACTTGATGGCCTTGCAATCTGAGGATTCTAGTCCTTCAATTATGAAAAGTATTCTAGTTTTTTCTTTGATAATTTTTTTCTCCTCCATTTTCTGTCTTCTTTCTTTCTGGACTTCCTATTAGTTAAAATGTAGGATGGATATTTTAATTTTATTATCTCCCCCCCGACCCCTTAATTTTCTTACTTTCTTTAGATTTTCCCTTCTGAAAGATTTCCTTTATTTTCCAGCCTTCTTATTATGTTTTTAAATTTCCTGCTGCCTTATTTTTAAGATTCAAAAGCTCTTTCTATCTTTTGATTGTTTCTTTTTGTTTTTGTTTCACAGATACATATATTTTATCTCTATGTTTTAAGTGGTTTCTTCTGATCCCTGCATTATCTCTACACTTACTGAGTTGCACGAGGCAGAGATGGGAGCCTGGGGTCTTGCCTCACGGTATAAGGACTTGAACCAATGCCCTGGTTTTCAACTCTGCAGTTCACT